TCCTAGTGATGGGTTGCGGCTGGAAGGGCATTCGCTGCGTAAAACATTTGCTGGATAAGTTGGCAGTTCATTCCACTCTGACAACCCCGGCTTAATAAAGGGACTAAGCCGAAAAGAAAATGAATGAATTAATTATTATTATTATGAATTAATTACACCAATCACAAGGTAATGTTTCTATACCAGAACTTCATGTATCTTGAGTTCTTTCACGAAGAAAAGATCAGACTGGAGCATTACACTTCCCTCCCTGATCCTGTCTTCCACAACTGTATGTCAGATTTTATATAATATAGTCTCACTTTTATTAGAGTACACCGCAATACAGACGTTTCAATGATGACACTTGCTTATTTGCTGATCATTCATTGCATGCTGAGGAGATGTTAAAAAGAGCACTAGAGATCTGCTTTCCGTGTCTCCTTCTTTTTGTCTGTCTGGTTCTTTTCAGCAGTGGTTGACAGTGGGAAGTGGTGTTATATCGGGTGATTTGTTTCAAACTGTGGAGGGCAGAGATTATCTGTTTTTCTAAGTGTCTCAATGCTGTCAGGCCTTTAAACAGATATGTCTGATCCTATGGCCATAGACTAAACATTATGAAACTCTCAAGTGGGACGCTATTGTCCTGTGTGTGCAATGTTTCATAGCTATCTCTAGCATTTGCTCTGCATTCTTGGTTAGTTCTTACATTTACATTCAGTCATCTAGCAGATGCTTTTGTCAAAGCGACTTAACAATTGAGAAGGCATTCAGCAATTTAAGTAGAACAAGAAGATGCCGTACACACAAGAAGTGCTCATTATACAAACGAGATGTTTGTGCTCAGGGTTTAGTGTTATAATTAGAAAGGGGAGAGTTTTTTTTTACAGAGAAAGAGAAGAGTGGTTTTACAGATGGTTTGTCAAGCCCACTCACCTGTGCTGAGCCCACTTCATAAATGCAGTGTTTTTTAAAAGATGTTGAAGGATTTTTAGAAAGTATCTAGTGCAAAAGTGTTGGTTAAGATGGAAGAGAAATTGAAAAGAGTGTGTTTTCTACAGGTGGTTTGTCAAACCCACTCACCTGCACTTAAAAAAAAAACGTTGATTTGGCGCAATAGCCTGTTGGTTAGCGTGCCGACATATGGTACGATAGTACGTCAGGGCGCCGCGAGTTCGAATCCCGACTCGAGGACTTTTCCCTACCCTACCCCCTCTCTCTCTCCCACCTCGCTTCCTGTCCTATCTAATGAAGGCAAAAAGGCCAAAAAATAAATCTTAAAAAAAAAAAGTTGACTCAACTCAAAATCAAATTAGGCAACTTGCTGCCGAGTTTTTATGAGCTGACTTTCAACACGAGTACTGCACTTGACGCGATGTAAGTTGGTTGCCTTAACATTTTAAGTTAACAGTGTGTGTGAGGCACACTCAGAACTGCATACTGTTTTAAGGTTATCTTAATTTGTGTTCCAAAGAGAAATAAATGTCTAATGCGATTGGAATGGCATTAAATTGAGTAATTACAGATTTAAATTTTTTTAGTGAACTGATCCTTTAAATGCAAAAAATGTGTGTAGTTATTATTTAGTAGGGGCAGTGTTAACGCATCTTTTATGTAAAAGTGCCCATTATGCTATTTTAAAGGTCCCTAATTATTAGATTTTTACTATTTGTTGGTTTTACTATTTAAGTCTCTCACAATCGCTTACATCAGGGGTTCTCAATCTCGGTCCAGGAGATCTGTTGTCCTGCAGAGCTCCAACCCTAATCAGATTCACCTGGGCTAGCTCATCAAGCTCTTAAGCTGCGGTCACACTGGACTTTTCTCCCCATAGACTTCCATTCATACTCACGCGAATGCGTCAGACCGGAAACGCAGGGTCATGCGTCACGTTTCGCAGGTTGCTGCGGTGCAAAGTTCAAGCTTGGTGAACTCTGGCATGCAGAATATGCAAGGAATGTCTTTTTCACATTTTATCTGATGCGAATACCCTGCTGAAAAATCCAGCTTAAACCAGCTGGTGGGCTGGTTTTAGCTGGTCAACCAGGCTGGTTTTAGAGGGGTTTGGCCACTTCCAGGCTGGTTTCCAGCCAGGTCTTAGCTGGTCAGGCTGGGAGATGACCAGCTAAAACCAGCTTGACCAGCCTAGCCAAGCTGGGAGTCCAGCCAAAACCAGCTATGCCCAGCTTAAACCAGGCTGGTCAAGCTGGTTTTTGCTGATCATTTTCCAGCCTGACCAGCTAAGATTAGGCTGGAAATGGCTGGAAACCAGCCTGGAAATGGCCAAACCCCCTCTAAAACCAGCCTGGTCAACCAGCTAAAACCAGCCAACCAGCCTAGGCTGGTTTAAGCTGGATTTTTCAGCAGGGTAGACAAATAAAGGATTGAAGTACTCTGTTCTGAAGCCTGTAAAGGTTACATTTAATACTTAGATTTTTAAATTAATATTTATTTGAATGAATCGTTTTGCTTTGGGGTTTTATGTGATGTTCCTTTGATAATTATTTTCCAGAATATAATAATTTAGGTGTACTAATTATTGGACTGTGATATATATTTTTTTTGTTAGAGTTTAGTTCCAATTTGAGTATACAAAGTAATCTAATGTATATGCACAAATATATTAATGTTAAATATATATATGAATTTAGAAGAGAGATCTGTGAGGGGTGTACACTCTATGTGTGTGGTGCTGTTGCAGCTGATTTATGATGGAAATCATACAGATCTGATCTAAACTTCTGTTCCATTAGCCACCGTTTATGAGCTCTGCTCTACACGTGGTTTGCCCAAAATTGTCGAGAGATTCAGGTGAACGCTCCATTTTCATCCAGAAATAGTTTTGTGTTGGAAAGAGGATGTTTTTATTTCCACAGCTTCAGAAAAAAAGAGAGGAATGAGAGAATGGCCTCTCGGAGAGGGATGAGATCGGAATGTCTTACAACTGACTGAAAAACCGCTCAGAAGTTTGACATAAGAATAGTTCGATCGCCATCGCTGCAGCTTTAGGCTTGTGTTTGTTGGCTTCGCCGTCACATTGTTTCATGACAGCGATCCGATATCAAATAAATAGTGCCAAAAACTATTTCCTGGATTCTTGTTAGGGATATTTTTAGTATGACCAAAAAAGGCAAAGAGCAAAGAACCTTAGCAGCTGATCTCTCCAAGCACATCCAGAGAAAAACAGATCTGCTTTCCTCTCCTTTTGCCCTTCCTTCTTCCCGTTTTCCAAAGTGAGAGTGCATGTTCTCTCAAATTCACTAGATTCTGTTAGTGGATTTAATACTTACTGTTAACATTCACGTTTACGTGTATAACTTAAAACCTGAAGGTCAAATTAGTGACTGTGGTAATTCTCTTTTTATTTTAATTAATGTAATTGTCTAAATGTTGCTAAAAAAATATTGCTCTGTAGGGGATCAACCTACGATATAAGATCGATCTTGAAGATTCGAATCATTGATTCGACTCAGTTGAGTCAGACTGAATCAGATTATAAGATTCACAGTTTATCTATCATTTGTCCAGCAAATAGAAGACATCGCATTTTACCAGTCTTGTTCATAATATTTCTGTGGCCAATGATAATAACATAACACAGTATTGGGTTAACTTTTAGCAAAGTAACAAAATCTACAGCTTGAGGCAATGAGAAGCACATAAATGAGAAACAAAGAAATGAGAACAAAGATTAATTGAGCTACACTACGATACATGAAACTAACTTTGTAATAAGCAAACAACACACACACACACACACACACACACATACACACAGAGGCAGTTCAGAGGATGCAAAATGAGTTGACAACCTTCCCAAATTACTTCTAGTACTTATTACTAGATCTAGAATCAAACCTGAGAAACCACAAAAGCAGAGATATGGCTTATCTTTAACTGCTGAAGATCAATCTGCACCAGATCAGCAAGAGACAACATTAGTTTGTGTTACTTGCGCCTTTTTCTGAAGTCAAGTTTCCCTTGCCGGGCTGGCCTTGAGGAAGCACGGTGCCCCTTGATTGGGTGGTGACTCGCTTCGATGACGTGTTTGGGTTCAGTCCAACCCAGGCTCATTGTGGAAACGTAGTCCCGCAGACGTTTCTGGAGACCGCGGAATATTTCCCGGCGGGTACGTACGGCTGCAGTTTTTGTTTTTGCGAATCCGCGAGAGGCCGCTGTTGTGCGCTTTTTCGCACCTCAGACGCCTCTCGCGAGTGCGGTTCACGCCCGCACTGTTCTCGCGTGAACCCACTGGAGGCCGCTGTCCGACTGACCAGATGATTGACTGCGCGACCGGCCAATCGGCTGACCTGCCCTCCTCCATCCCCGAACCCAACCAATTTTACCGATCGACCCGCCCGCCCGGGCAATAAAAGCCCCAATTTTTTTTTTTCTACCGCGTTTTCGGATTTCACCGCGTTCTCACCCTGTCACGAAACTCGTTCACTTAATGTTTGGGATTCTGTTTTTGTCTTACCTGATTGCTGGAACCGCTCTTCCCCGGACTCGAAACCGATCGCTGTGGTCGATTCCTCTCTGCATCTCGAGCCTGCCGACGTACACGGTGAGCTGAGTGGACAAACGGGTTGCTGCGGGGAAGCCCTCCACAAGGAGGTAAGGCAAGCGCGAAAGGGAACAGCGTCACACCGCCCCGCAGCGTTTTCTTGAAAAAAATAAACGTGGCCGTACGTACCCCCCGGGACGTATTCCGCTGTCTCCAGAAACGTCTGCGGGACTACGTTTTCAGAATGAGCTTGGGTTGGTTCAGTCGCTTCTGGCTGTCATCCTGGGTTACCTATTTGAGTAATTAAAATAATTATATCCTTATTTTCTCTGTGCTTAGATTTATTTGTATTTTATGTAGTCAAGTAAACAAATGAAGTAATTCAGTTGTTTTTTGGGATTTTTTTAAATGATGTAACTAGAAATAAGTTAATTACTTTTTGAAAGTAACTTAGCCAACGTTCAATGTAATGGTGTAACATCCCATCTTTGTTTGTTTCTTGTGTCATTTATTCTAGATGAGGCCAAAATAAAGAAACCCCCACCCAAAACACTGCCTAAACAAGGTAAGTTCAGTCATCATCTGCATTAAATATAAAATTAGGATTAAATCAAAAAAGTTACAATCACAGTCCAGCAGAAGCCCTGGGCAACTGTCTTAAGTGTTGCAGTTTTCTAAAAGTCTTTGAGAATATGACGAATCTTCTTTAAATTAATCTTCTGGCGACTTTGTTATTTCTGCACCATTTTGTAAAAAAAAAAAAAAACAGCAGATTTATGTTTAATGATTTTGAGTGTGTAGCTTAAAAACCTAACAAATAATAATAATAAAATTTTTAACTGTGCGTTGACAACAAAGGTGGCAAGAACGTTAAAGATCACTGTGGTCGCTCTGGCTATTGACCTTATTCTAAAATGCGAAAGTGCGCCTGTTTTCGCGATTGTCTTAGAACTTCCGATTCAGTCGCCTATGGGAGAAATGACTAGGAATAATAAACGGCAGAAAATGGCCAAACTACTTGCTCAACAAACAAATGTTTGCATGAGTACACAGACCAAGTAGCATAATATAATAAGAAAATATTAAATTGCAACATCAAGCAGCGTAACGAGCAGTTGTTAACGTCAAAAAATGAATGAAAGTGAATGTGACCGGAAGTCGCGAGACAAAAAGATTCAAATGGCAGCGCCCGCTCGTCAGCTGGGAATAAGGTGAATAATGCTGTATGCTACTACTACTACTGCTCCTACTGCTCCGCCGGCGAGAGCATCAAAATTCATTACATTGATTTTGTTTTAAAGGGGCCGTTTCAGCACATCAGCAAAGAAGTTACATTCCCGTTTAAAAACATGCTTTCTAGCGTGGAAATGCTGTGCGCTTTTTTTATTAAATTCATTCAATGTTAACTATAAAAGATCAAGTTGTTGCGTGTGGTGTGGCTTTGCACCACTTATCCAATTTCTCCATAAGTCTGAAATATTCTGAAGCAGCAATCCTGTTTTATACTATCATTAACATAAGATTACTATCGTTACCATAAGATTTCTGCTTTTTTAAGGGATATATATATATATATATATATATATATATATATCAGGGGTGGCCAACCCTGTTCCTGGAGAGCCACCTTTCTGCAGATTTCAGTTGCTACCCATATCAAACACACCTGAACCAATTAATTAGGACCTGAACAGCACGTGATAATTACAGGCGGGTGTGTTTGATATGGGTTGCAACTAAAATCTTCAGGAAGGTGGCTCTCCAAGAACAGGGTTGGCCACCCCTGATATATATATACAGTTGAAGTCAGAATTATTAGCCCCCTTTTGATTTTTTTCTTTTTTTAATATTTCCCAAATGATGTTTAACAGAGCAAGGAAATTTTCACAGTATGTCTGATAATATTTTTTCTTCTGGAGAAAGTCTTATTTGTTTTATTTCGGCTAGAATAAAAGCAGTTTTAAATTTTTTCAAAAACAATTTTGGCCCAAATTATTAGCCCCTTTAACCCCTAACCCCAACCGTCATTGCAAATCGTACAGAATTGTACAAATTAGATCATACGAATTCATAAGAATTAGACACTAAATCAAAAAGTTACGAATTGTTGTGAGAAATTGTTGGACCATCCAGCCTCATCTCACGAGGAACCTTTAGTATTTTACGTTTTGCCAGTTTAGTAGCTAATTCGTACAAAATTCGTACGAGTTCAGTCGTATGAAAATGTATGATTTTAAAAAGGAGACATGGCACCTAACTCCACTCCTTACCCCAACCGTCATAAGCAAATCAAGCAAATCATACTAAACTGTACGAATTAGATCGTACGAATTCATACGAATTAGCCACTAAATCAAAAAGTTACGAATTGTTGTGAGATTGTGATGGACCATCGCAACCAGACATACATCAAATCACACTGTTGCTACACAAATGGAGGCGAATGGCTTTTCTTTCTATTCGACAGGTGCTCCGCCTCAAATCCAGCAGTTTCCTGATGATATGAAGATCATGGCAGGTCAGGAGGTGATTCTGCAGTGTAAGTTCACTGGAGCACTCCCCATCAGCTGCACCTGGCTCAAGTTCCGCAAACCAGTAAGAATCATTACACCTTGTATAGAAGCACATGGTATGCATTCTTAAATGTTTTATTCTTAGACACACAGATGGCACAAGTGAATACTCACCAGTATCTTTTCAATGCTTTAAACATTATCTGTGTTTCGGGCCTATAGTGAGTTTGCTAGTATATCACAGGGCTATTAAAGTTTCCACTGTGACCTCTGAGACTAAATAAGCGCTCAATAGGGCTTCCTTTGGGCTTACAGCTAGGGTTTTTTTGGGGGCTAAAATCTTGAGCTAAAGTGACAATGGGTCAAAGATGGAGTTTAGGTGAAGTTATTCCATATTAGTTTAGAAGTAATTTGATTTGTGATGCTAAAAGGGACAGACGAGTCTTCGCTGAGGCCATCTTCCTGCCTAACCACGTCGAATGAAGCTCTGCACAAGACTTTGGCCAGCGGAGAAATTAAAATGGTCGTGCCCAACTGAGTCTGGTTCCCTCAAGGTTTTTTTTCCCTCTCCGCTGTCGCCACTGCCTCGCATGGTTCAGGATTGGTAGAGCTACGCATCGATGAATTGGCTCTTCAGTGTTTGAACTCTCAGTAATGATTAAATCACACTGAACTGAGCTAAACTGAACTGAACTGAACTTAAACACTAAAACCTGAACCACACTGTTCCAGTTACTATGACCATTTATGTGAAGCTGCTTTGACACAATCTACATTGTAAAAGCGCTATACAAATAAAGCTGAATTGAATTGAATTGAAAAAAGCTAATAACTAAATATTAAATATAGCTGCAAACAGCAATTATTGGTTATCAATTATTTTAAGGTCATAGGCTCTTTTGTTAATTAGGAAGTCTGCGACTACTTTAATCAACTATGAAAAATCTAACACTTGTAACGATTCACACCATTTACTACTGGCTTATTTATACGATATTAACTGTTTATTAGCACTTAGCCGGGAGCTAGCTCTCTGCAATTCTCACATGATCGCCCACTGAAGCTAAGTAGGGCTGTAAATTAGTTTATATCATCTGATAATTGTAGGAAATAAACCCAAAAGGCATTTGACTGTGTAAAGAAACATTAACCAACACAAAAATGCGATGTATATGCCGAGTTCATCGGCTAATTACACCACCATTCACACAACCATTTTAATCACTCGTTCAATTTAGTTGATATTACACTTTAAATCAAAAATGACTTGAATGGAACATTTGAAGTTCAGTAATATCCTGTGTTCATTCCTGTTATTCTCACCCTCTTTTTCAGATTCAGGAAGGTCAGGGCATCTCAATAGTCAGCACAGACAGTAGCAGTCAGCTGACCATCACAGAAGGACAGCAGGAGCACTGTGGCTGCTATACCATAGAGATCAAGAACAGCTTTGGTGTGAGACAGGCTGCCCTCAACCTCACTATAGTCGGTGAGTATGAACACTTGCATATCTGACATAACATCCCACAATCATATGCATCTGTGCTTGTCTGTCACGCTGCGGTTTTTGACTGTTTGGTGCTATATTGTGACTGAATAATACATAGGCTAGTCTATGCTCCATCAGCTCTTTTCAGCTGTTTTGTTTCTGTTAGCTTTGGGTTTAATTAAAATAAATGTTTTGTGTCTAATATTTATTTTATGTGGCTAGTAGCCATGTATGAAGTGCATCCAAGAGATTATTCTCACAGAATGAAAGCCCTTCAGTCTTATAAAACAGCTCTAGATAAGCCCGTCAGGTTTATTCTGTGATAACAACCTCCTGGATGTACTGTATCAGTAACATAACCCTGGAACTACCAGAATTCTATAACGTGCTTAAATCGCTATAGTGTTTAGTCTCACCATTCATTTAAATCCCAATTCACACCGCACAGAAAAGTTGGTCATTGGATTTAAAATGCTGTGTTTAATTATGTTAATTATTAAGTTAAATGTTAATCATGTAAACTAATACTTCAATTCAGTTTGTTTATTGACATGTGCACAGTAAGGAAACACGTTTCCCTGTACAATGAAATTCTTACTTTATTGTCTACAGTGAAGTCAAACACATAACATACTCATCATGCATGACATACACCTAAGTACACACTTACAGAAGTGACAAAAGCAGGGCTTCACATTAACACCTGCCAACCCGCCAAATGCGGGTAGATTTCAGCTTTGGCGGGTTAGACAGACACCTCCACTAGCCACTTAGGCTGGTTAGAAATCATTTGTAAATCGTAGTTTTCTTAAAAGCAGGGTTCGACAATAAGCATGGCCCAATATTCGTGCAAATGTGGTATTAGAATCGAGAAGCAGCACGACTGACAAAAATAACACACGAGCAAAAGAATGGCGAATACAGAATGAGAGCATGATCACTCGCGCTAACAGCTAATGTGATGCGCGCGACTGTTTACTTGCGTGAAGCAACCGTGCCTAGAGGAAGCGCAACGGGTGCGATCGGTTCCTTTTGAAATAGACTGGACAAAGAGCGATGATTGTGCACCCACAATGACGATGGTTTGTTTTGTAGACTATCTAAAAAAAATAGCTTAAAGGGGCTGATAGTTTTGTCCCAAAAATAGTTAAAAAAAATTCTAAACTGCTTTTATTCTAGCCGAAATAAAACAAATAAGAATTTTCCTAGAAGAAAAAATATTATCAGACATACTGTGCAAATTTCCTTGCTCTGTCAAACATCATTTGGAAAATATTTAAAAAAGAAAAAAAAAATCAAAAGGGGGCTAATAATTCTGACTTTAACTGTATGTTTGAAGCACAGTAAAAACAATAGCGGGCAATGCAATGCATGTAGTTAATTTGAACCATTATGTCTCTAGACATTGTCAATAGTCATTATATCCCTTGTATATGTCAAACACAACAAGTTCTTTGTCGTTTTTTGAGGGCAAAAAGGAAATATGAAAGGCTGAGTCATGGTATACTGTTTTCAAGCACTCTTAACAGCCTACGCTGCAAGAGGTGGGCTTGTAAATCTCTCATGTGCTTTCATGTCCAAACACAAGGACAGTGGCCGAGAGAGAAAAACAGTTTCATAAACATCTGGCAAAGAAATAACATCAAAGAAGGCGGAGTTTCAGAACACAATCAAAGATTATGTAAACACAATGAACCAATGGTAGCTCGTGTTTAGGAGTCAAAACAAACTCCCCAAAAATTCCTTTGGGTAAGATATTCAGCCAGATACTTTACGCAGGCACATCTTTTCAGTTGTTTATTTTTTATTTAATTTGAACATCAAAAGTTGTCAGTGAAATAAAGATACCAAAATGAAATTAAAAAGCATACATTGTGAAGATTGGTAGTGGATATTAGTTTAAATGTTTACAAAACACCTTCACAATATATTGACATACCTATTTTTTCATACCTAAAAAGTCTACGCAAAGGAAACGAAAAATACAGCGGAGGTTTATCTGAATAGATAGTGAAAAAATCGGAAGCTAAACACCAGGGTGGAAACTGAAAATACAGATGCAAAACCCTTATCTAAAAGACCTGCTAGCTAAGTTCAACGAGGAGCTGAGTTTCAGAGACTAGCAGAGATGTCTATAAATTATCAGGCCAAACCACAAAAAGAGCTCAAGTTTAGGCCTGTTCACAAGTGAAACTCACGTGTCTATTGTGATAGCAAAAGCAGAAGTTCTCACCCGGTCAAAATGTCAGTCATTTAAAGTGTGAAACTTAAGGCAATTTATAACTATAGCAGTATAGCTTAGTGGGCAGTCACAGATGTAGTTAGTAGATAAATGTATGCTTGTTCTCTAAAGTAATTTATTTACTGTAGAAGTTTTACATGATTTAATTTGAGTTGAGAAAAATGTGCTTGGCACCAGTGGTGTAGTCCTTGCTGTACGCACGTATACTCAGTATGCCTACATTTTTCCATGAGCTGTTTGGGTATTACGACTTCTGAGGATCAATAATTGCGTATACCCTTGGTATACTCACTTGTTTTGTTGATTTGACTTTCCTAATTTATGTGTATTTGCGTCTCCTTTAACTGTCTACCAAATGTATTCCTTAACTTGCATCTTAATTTGTTGCAATTGATGCATTTGATTAATTTGTGCCATTCCCCGCCCTCTGACGACCACAGCAGCTGTGAGAACATTTCGTGAGAGTTTTTCAAAGATCACAACAAGTCAACTGAATGATGTCTCGCTGAAACTTTCAAGTAAAATTTTAAAATAGCATGGGCGTCGCTTTATATTATATATATATATATATATATATATATATATATATATATATATATATATATAAAATTATATATATATAATTAGGCTCATATACATGAAAATACAGCTCAATATAATCAGCCAATCTCAGGGTCTGCTGGGGTCACTGTTAGCTAAGCATAATTGAATTCTGATTAAAATGAATACATTTATTTTAATATTTTTAAATGGATAGTTCACCCAAAAATTTTTTTAAAGATTGTCATCATTTACTCAACCTTTTCTTCTTCCAAACCGGTTTGTCTTTTTTTTTTTAATTCTGTTTACTCTGTTGAACACAAAAGAAGATATTTCAAAGAAAGCTGGACACCTGTAACCATTGACTGCCATAGTTTTTGTTTTTTCTACTGTGTAAGTCAATAGTTACAGGTAAGTGATGTTTAGTGTATGTATATATATATATATATATATATATATTAATCCAACCCAGGCTCATTGTGGAAACGTAGCCCCGCGGAAGTTTCTGCGGACCGCGATTTATGTCCCGGGAGGTACGTATTCGAGCGGGTTTTTGTTTTCGCGGATCCGCAAGAGGCCGCTGTGTGCGTTTTTCCGCGTCTCGGGCGCCTCTCGGGAGCGCGCGGCGTTCGCGCCCGCACCGTTCTCGCGCGAAAAGCCGCCAGATCAGAAAAAAAAATAGCAAAAGCCCTCGTCTTCGATTTCGACCACGTTTTCGGATCCCGCCGCGTTCTCGCCTTTATTTTTCGGATTCCGTTTTTCGTCTTACCTGATTTCCGGAACCTGCTGTTCCCCGGACTCGATCCCGGTCGTCGTCCACCGCGGCCGGCTCCGGCTCCTCCTCTGGGGCATCCGCTCCGCCGACGCAATGCTGTGAGCTAAGCGGACAAACTGATTGCGTCGGGAAAGCCCTCCACTCGGAGGCGAGCCGTCGGCCGGCGAGCGCGAAGAGGAGGGGCGGAGCGGCGCCACACCGCCCCGCAGCGTTCGCTCGAAAAAAACCAAACGCGCCCTTTATGTACCTCCGGCCACGTAAAACGCGGTCTCCAGAAACATCCGCGGGGCTACGTTTCCAGAATGAGCTTGGGTTGTATTAATCAAATAAACGTTTATTAATTTTGCCTCTGGAGGGGACATTTTACTTTGGCAAAGACCCATCAAAAGGTACCTTGGGTAAGGTATGCGTTATTTTATTCGTTGAAAATCTTACAAATTCTACACAAAACTTTTAAGGGAGGATTATCAGAATGCTGTTTAACTGGGGAATTAGTCAGGGGACCAGTAAAAATATATATATATCGATCTTAAAATGTATTTTGCATGAAGAAACAAACTCTGTGAATGTCTTCCCTCATCAGAGTGGAGTTTTTATGTTTAATCAATGGGCATTATTCATTTTCATTAAAGTAAATATTTTATAATGCTAAAGGTTCCTGCAAGGGCAGCAGTAGGTAGCGCTGTCACGTTACAGCAAGAAGGACTGGTTTGAGCCCCGGCTGGGTCAGTTGGCGTTTCTGTGTGGAGTTTGCATGTTCTCTTCGTTTTTGCATGGGTTTCCTCCAGATGTTTCGGTTTCCCCCACAGTCCAAACGCATGCACTATGTGTGAATTGGGTAAGCTAAATTGTCCGTAGTGTGTTTGTCCTGGTCCTCCAGGTTGGGGATTGAGCATTGGGCTAACGACCCACCTCATAAAAATGTGATATTATGAAATACCAACAGGGTATGGCTAAATATCAACTTCGATATAAGCAGCCCTGGGAGTAAATAAGCAAAGGTTCCTGCAAAAGTGTACAAAGTTTTTAGCAAGACAGTATTCATGACAGTTAAAGCAGCAGATTCTTATTGTGTCTGTGTGTTTGTTAGGTCGGAATGTGCATGTGTCCCGATAGTTTTCATGGTGTAAAAATGGTTTTATAACTGCAGGTCAAAATTACCTCTAAGGCAACCCAGGCTCATTCTGAAAATGTAGTCCCGTGGACGTTTCAGGAGACTGCAAAATACCTCCGGGAGGTACATATTTGTGCAGTTTTTGTTTTTGCGAATCCGCGAGAGGCTGCTGAATGCGCTATTTCGCATCTTGAACGTCTCGCTGTTCACACCCGCGCTGTTCTCGTGTAAACCCACTAGAGGCTGCTGTCAAGTGACCGTCTGTCCGGCTGGCTGAATGATTGGCTGATGACCCGCCAATCGGCCGACCCACCCTCCTCCTTCCCTAAACCCAACTGGTTTTACCGATAGACCCGCCCACCCGCTTGCTTCCCTAAACCCAAGCAGCGATTTACAAAAGCCGTCCAGTAAAAGAAAAGCCCTCTTCTGATTTTTACCACGTTTTCCGATTTCACCACATTCTCACCCTGTTATGAACTTGTTCACTTTATATTTTGGATTCTGTTTTTGTCTTACCTGATTTATGGAACCGTTCTTCCCTAGACTCAAACCTGGCCGTCGTGGTCAGCTACTCTCTGTGTCTCAACTTGGTAAACTTGGTACAAACTGGTTGCGGCGGAAAAGCCCTCCACAAGTAGGTAGGCGGTCAGCTGGCGAGCGCGAAAAGGAACGGCGTCACACCGCCCCGTATCGTTCGCTTAAAAAAAATGAAATGCAGCCACACGTACCTCCGGCTCCAAAAATCGCGGTCTCCAGAAACATCCGCAGGACTACGTTTTTAGAATGAACCTGGGTTGCTCGAATGACAACCATTGTACCCTAAATGTGTACAGCTTTTTTTGGGAATTTCTTTTTTTTTTTCTAATTTCGGGGTAGTTTTAGAAAAAGTCACCAAATTTCAAGATAAAACTCAGCTGTTGAAATGCTGCACGGGTCATTTTTGACCCAACAGAGGAGGTTAAATCACTATATACTGACAGAACAGTCATAACCACACATTACACAGCTGAAATGTCAAGTACTGCACTTGGAGTTGATTTGATTTCGTTAAACTTCTGTCTCTCTCAATCCATCTTTAATCTTGGTTTGTTTTTTTTGTAGATAAGCCTGACCCCCCTGCCCGTGTCCCAGCAGCCTCAGATATCCGTAAGTCCAGCCTCACGCTGTCCTGGTATGGGCCAACATACGACGGTGGCAGCGCTGTCCAATCCTACAACCTGGAGGCTTGGAACTCTCTGGACATGAAGTGGACGGACGTGGCATCCTGTAACAGCACATCTTATAACGTGCAGGACCTTCTTCCAGACAGACAGTACAAGTTTCGAGTGAGAGCTGTAAATATTTATGGCGTCGGGGAGCCCAGTGCCGAGTCTGAGCCCGTGCAGGTGGGGCTGGAGGCAGAGGGGGGTGAGTGCCACCTAGTGGACATTTACAGCATTGCAGTAGTCATAAAGCATATATTACCATCAGTGTTGGGCAAGGTACTTCAAAAAGTGCTTAATTACTTATTACATTTTTTAAATTGTATATCAGTTACTTTTCTAAATACTATTTCTGAAGATATATTTAATTACTCAGAAAGGAATTTAATTACTTCACTCGATACTACTTAAAATCCCAAGAAATCTTTAACTCTTAATTTGAGTCAAACAGGGCATTTTAGCTTTTATAAAAAATATTTAATACTAAAGCCTTTTAATAACAAGAAATAAAATCTTTAGGTAACAAATAGAATTGCTTAAAAAACTTCGCAATACTAATTTAAAAAAACTAATTTAAATTTAATTATTCTGCAAAATGTGGCAAGAGAATAAGGCGAAGGAAAATGTCACTGAGCAAAATTTCTGAATTACAAAAATATTATTAATCTGCTTGTCTAAATGTATTCAGTAACACTGTTGAATATGTGTACAGTATTTAAAGCAAGTAATTTACAACTGCAATTAAATTATCTAAAAGCTATCAGTCATCTCTTACTTATACTTGAAAAATAATTTAAACCTTCACAAGTTTCTTTCTTCTGTTGAACACAGAAGATCATTTGATAAATACTGAAAACCTGTAACCATTGACTTCCATTGTAGGAAAAACAAATACTGTAGAAGTCAGTGGTTACAGGTTTCCAACATTTTTCAAAATATCTTCTTTTGTGTTCAACTGTGTTCTTTTGTGTGAACTGTACCTTTAATTACAGTATCTTTGTAACTAATTACGCCCAACACTGATTACCATGTTAACTTTGTTTAAATTATGTTGCAGTAACAGTGTGTTCATTTTTTCAGAAAATAAGGAGGATGAAGTCGAGCCCTCGGATGATGGTATGTCATCAATTTGTGTTTTATTATTAAATTCTAAATAAATCTCACAATTTACTTAGTTTTCTTACATAGCTATTCCTGAAAAAGTTTGCCTTCAGTGGGGTATAGTCAGGGCCAGATTAAGAACATATATGGCCTCTGGGGCTGTAGCAAACCCAAAGGTCCCAATTACTTTATCGCTTCACAAAAGTAGCATCTTTGCTATTATTATTTATTTGCTAATTAATAATATCATCTAATTTTTCACTATATATATATATATATATATATATATATATATATATATATATATATATATATATATATATATATATATATACACCACACACACACACACAGTTGAAGTCAGAATTATCAGCCCCCCCGTTTATTTATTTATTCTTTTTTAATATTTCCCAAATGATGTTTAACAGAGCAATTAAATTTTCATAGTATGTCTGATAATATTTTTTCTTCTTGGGACAGTCTTATTTGTTTTATTTCAGCTAGAATAAAAGCAGTTTTTAATTTTTCAAAAGCCATTTTAAGGACAAAATTATTTGCCCTTTTAAGCTATATTTTTAATAGTCTACAGAACAAACCATCATTATACAATAACGTACCTAATTATATATATATATTTATATATATATATATATAAATGTATATAAATGTATATAAATGTATATATATGTATATATATATATATATATATATATATATATATATATATATATATATATATATAATTTTTTTTTTTTTTTTTTTTTTTTTTTTACTAAATTTGGCGTACAAAATTAATGATATAACATGAACTTCAAATTTTAAACAGGCTGCCAAAAAATATTTGCAATACTAAATGAGCGCTGTACATTAAATACTTTAAATAAGGTTACCTCTAAAAAGTTTGCTTAGTTTGAACTTAAACTGAGCAGAAACCCTTAAAATGTTTAATATGTTGGGCCAATTTCCCAACATTTTGGTCTCGTGAGTCAATCAATTACAGACCGTTAGCATCTTTTTTCCCAGTCAGATATATTGTCTGATGAAACCCAGCTTCAATTTTTCATTGCTTTTTTTTTTTTTTTTTTAGAAGGGGCAAAGTAAACATTCATTAAAATATTTTGCTTTCTGTTTCAATTAGACTTAAACCATTTTCTTGTGATAGATACTCTGCAACGATGCACACTTTGATTACTTTGTATTGGCTATTTGATTTGGTCCCACACTGTCTTGATTATATTATTTGAAGGAAAGATTGCTCCGGCGCATAGCCGAGACAGCACTTAAGTTATCAGTCCGTTCTACAGCATGCTTCTGCCGGCTTCTCTTCTCTCTGATCTCGACTTCTCTTACTACAAGTTAATAATGGATACTGTTTGTGCTTTATTTCTTGTTCTGCGATTTACTTGCTTAGCCTACCTTAACTGGACCATTATCGCAGTAGAGTTGAAATAAGGAACTTTAGAAAAAGGGGACTTTCCTGAGTAAGATGGACTTTCCTGGGGAAAAATGGGACATCTGGTCACTCTTATGGGAAATAAAACAGGGCTATGGAAGTATGGAAGTCAGTAATCAATATGTCAGTATTTTTAAGAAATAAGAAAGCAACCTAAATAGGTTTGGATCAAGTGGAGAATGAGTAATTTAAGACAATTATCACTTTTGGGTGAACTATCTCTTTAAATGTCTAGGATGGAATGACACTGATGCATTTCCTCTCTTTCACCACAGAGTCAGAGAAAGTACCAGACTACAGAAATGTGACGATCAAAACAGACGTAAAAGTAAAAGATTTTTATGATGTAGAAGACCGACTGGGCACGTGAGTATATCAATAAAGCCAATAAAATTCTATTACCATTTCATAAAGTTTCAACAAGCTGTGGCAACTACTGTACTTCGCTGTTGAAATATTCTAATGATGAGCAAAACAAAAATGAAAAAAAAGTAAGATAATCTATGTAGTAGTAGAAATCGAATTACTACTTTCTTTTTCAGAGGGAAATTTGGGACCGTTTTCAAACTGATCGAGAAGTCCACTAAAAAGGTTTGGGCTGGGAAATTCATAAAAGCATATTCTGCCAAAGAAAAAGAAAACGTCAGGCAGGAAATTGCAATCATGAATGACCTGCATCATCCAAAGCTGGTGCAGTGCATCGATGCTTTTGAGGGAAAGACCGACATCGTAATGGTGCTGGAAATGTAAGTTTTTACTTATTTGGTGAGTATTAATCTGCAATTTGTACTTGCGTCACTAATAATCATCTAGTCAAGTGAAAAAAAGTGTTTACTCCAATTTTTGTCAATTAAGACGTTTTGTTTTAATAGAAATAACACTTCTTAGTCAGGTTGGTTTGTCATGCAGAATTGCTTGTATTCCTCTTGTTTCATTAGTTCATTAATTTGTTGACTTATTTCGAAAAAAAGGAAAGGTAAAAAGCTATCTTTTCCATGTTTCCATGGATTTTTTTCTAACCTTTCTCAATGGCATTGCGCAAAGATTCAACTTAAATGTGCAGTAGGTGATTGTCTTCAGAAATTTTATTTGTGCCGGTTGAAAGTCTCTTCGCATTCCAATAGTACTGATTGAAGTAAATGATCTACATTTATTTTTATGTATTTTTGTTTTCTGGGTAAGGCATAAGACTAAAAAAACTTTCACTAAATTAAAATGTCGGGCCGACATCTCCCATAATTCTGATAAGTAGCCCAAACTGTCTGTCAGCAAAGGCAGATTTGAGCTACTGCGCACCAGTTTGTATGCAGCTCTGCCATTTGTACACACACGTGCTGCGCGTTCACGAGAGAGCGAGCGGTGAAAACGTGCTAAATCGAAACTTTTTTAAAATCCTGAATCAATATTGGAGTTACTTTTGCATGCTGGAAGAAGGACGACACCATGGCTGAACTATTTCCAACATAGGCTCATTCTGAAAACGTAGTCCAGCCGACGTTTCTGGAGACCACGAAATACGTCCCGGCGGGTACGTACGGCTGCAGTTTTTGTTTTTGCGAATCCGCGAGTGCAGTTCGCGCCCGCGCTGTTCTCGCGTGAACCAACCAGAGGACCGGATGATTGACTGCGTGACCGGCCAATCGGCTGACCCGCCCTCCTCCTTCCCTAAACCCAACCAATTTTACCGATTGACTCGCCCGCCGGCTCACTTCCCTAAACCCGAGCAACAGTTTACAAAAGCCGTCCAAAAAAGAAAAGCCCTGATTTTTTATACCGTGTTTTCGGATTTCACCCCGTTCTCACCCTGTTATGAAACTCGTTCACTTAATTTTTGGGATTCTGTTTTTGTCTTACCTGATTGCTGGAACCGCTCTTCCCCGGACTCGAAACCAATCGCTGTGGTCAACTCCTCTCTGCATCTCAAGCCTGCTGACGTACACGGTGAGCTGAGTGGACAAACGGGTTGCAGCGGGGAAGCCCTCCACAAGGAGGTAAGCGGTCGGCCGACCGGCCGGCAAGCGCGAATAGGGAACAGCATCACACCGCCCCGTAGCGTTCGCTTGAAAAAAATTAATGCAGCCAAACGTACCTCCCAGGACGTATTCCGCTGTCTCCAGAAACGTCCGCGGGACTACGTTTTCAGAATGAGCTTGGGTTGATAAAATACCTAGCAAGCACACAATTAGAGCATGGGTTGTTTGTATTTGATGCCAAAAATAATTAGTAAAGGTCATGTTCTTTAAAAACATATTTCTGTAAATCTATCAAAATGTATTTGTTGATTTGTAATATGCATTGTTAAGAATGGAATTTGGACAACTTTAACCATACAGTCACAGAAGGCTTATTTATTCAGACTTCATATGGGATAGAAGCATTGACACTTATGTCTGTTTTTTGCGTCCACATGTATGCCATTGTTAGAGGTTTTCATTATATCAGTGGATGTAGGCTGTGTTTATGAATGTGTCCGTTGTGTTGGCTGTGTTCTGAAGGATCTCTGGAGGGGAACTGTTTGACCGGATCATAGATGAGGACTTTGAGCTGACGGAGAGAGAGGTGATCAAATATATGCTTCAGATTGTGGACGGGGTCAATTTCATCCATAAGAAAGGCATCGTCCACCTGGACCTCAAACCTGAGAACATCATGTGTGTTAATAAGACGGGCAGCAAAATCAAACTCATCGACTTTGGACTGGCACGCAGACTTGGTCAGTATGAAATGCTTGCAGTGCATTAATACGATTACTGTAATTACTGAAGCTCAGACTAATTATACTAAGTGTAAGAATGTGTGTGTTTAGACTGGTCCGAATCTGATTAAAGGGATAGTTCACCCAAAACTGAAAATTGTCATCATGTACTCACTTGTTCCAAACCTATTTTACTTACTTTTTCTGTTGAACACAAAAATGGTATTTTGAAGAAAGCCGGAAACCTGTATCCATTGGCATCCATAGCTGATTTTCCCACTATGGAGGTCAATCGTTTTTTTCAAAACTTCTTCAAAATATCTTTGTTTGTGTTTAACAGAAGGAAGAAACTTGTTTGGAACCAACTAAGGGTGAGTAAATAGTGAGTAAATTTTCAATTTTGTGTGAGCTATCCCTTAATAAATATTTTTTTTATTTAAAAAAAATCATATGTTGCTTTAAATTGGGATCTTAAATTTGTTTGTGTGTGTTTTGGGGATGGCCGTAGAGAATGCTGGATCTCTCAAAGTCCTGTTTGGAACCCCTGAGTTTGTGGCTCCAGAGGTGATCAATTATGAGGCCATCAGTTATGCGACAGACATGTGGAGTATAGGAGTGATCTGCTACATCCTGTGAGTACATGTTCACACAGAACAAACAAACAAAATCATCCTAAATGCACCTTTTCACGAGATGTAAAATAAATCACTGATGTCCCTAGAGTGTGTTTGTGAATTTTTAGCTCAAAATACCCCAGAAATGTTTTATAACTCTTTGAATCTACACCCTTTTAGCCTTTGATCCTAATTGTGTGACCAATGCAATCTCATGGCAATTCGTAACTTTTAATTTAGGCCCCGTTTACACTAGTGCGTTTTAGTTTTAAAACGGCGTTTTAGAATGAAAACGATCCGCGTCCACACTCGCGTTTTACCCAGCGTTTCTGAACTGCTCTCCGTCCACACCAAAACGCTGAAAACGCACATTACGTGACCACACACACACACTTTGGCAATCGCTGGAGCCAGTCTACCCAGATGAGAGCTCTGCTAGTCGGACTTCTCATCAAGCATCTCGCGCTGGATCTAATCTCACTATATTTATTAAACGTGATATTTCATTCATCTTGTTGTCTTTATCTAACGACATATTCCCTGACTTTGGTCATTGGAATCTATTACTTGTTCTCAGGTAACGTGTTTTGGCTGAGCGCAAAGATAAGTTAATGATTAATGAAACCACGTAGCCTACATTCTGTATAGTGACTGATCGCTTGCCTTTATTTCCTATAATGTATAAACTTATTGTATGTTATACTTTTATAATGGCCATTATCCATTATTAAAACTGATATTCAGCAAAAGAGAGGGTGTGTTTCGTATTTTCACTGAAATTGAAAGAAGGCAGTTGTTATCGGCTCCGTTTTGTTATAAATATGCACACAGTGAAGATGACGCTCATGCAGCACGACGCCTCAACATTTCTGCTGTCTGTTTAGTTGTTAATATTAAAATAAAAATAGGCAGTTCCTTATATCCAGTTTACATTTTATTGTTGAAAAAGTGAAACAACGTAGCCAAGGTGATGTAAATGAAGTTATAAAGTACACTGTTCCCTGTGAAGATTGACGCGTGTCCTCGGTATGTTTTCCATATCAAACTGAGAAGAAGAGATGCAGCCTTGATCAAACTTGCGATGTCTGAACTTACACGGAGAAGATTCAGGACTGAACTGTGTGTTAGGCTACTTAATATTCAGGAAAAGCCCCAATCAGAGAGGCGAATGTCTGCAGCCCCGCCTCCGTTTTCAGATGTCTCCGTCTTTCCCCATCCACACTGAGACGGAGCAGCTGCGTTTCAGAATGAAAACGGCCTCTCCAGCGTTTTCAAAAAGCTCCGTTTTCGGCGCTCAAGAACTCCGGCGTAGTGTGGACGGATGTCGTAACCGTAGCAAAACTTATGCGTTTTCAAACTAAAACGCACTAGTGTAAACGGGGCCTTAGTGGCTAATTCGTACAATCTAATTCGTACAATTTTGTATAATTTGCTCATCACCCAATGACGGTTGGGGTTAGGTGTGGGGTTGGGTGCCACGCCTTCTTTTTAAAATCGTGCATTTTCGTACAACTGAACAAATTCGTACTAATTACTCACTAAACTGACAAACCGTAAAATACTTACGTTTCCTCATGAGATCAGGCTGGTGTGACTGTTGCTCTTAATTTGAATTATATTGTGCTTTTAGAAAAGAGGGCCGAGCTACAAATGCCTATGTGTCAGCATAGTGGCAAATTCAAAAACAAAACTAACAAAACTAGCCATAACCTAAGGCAGGGGTGCTCAGACTCCGTCCTGGAGAGCCGGTGTCCTGCATAGTTTCTCCAACTTTCTTCAACACACCTGTCTGAAAGTATCTAGTATACCTAGAAAGTGCTTGGTTAGCTGGTTCAGGTGTGTTTAATTGGGGTTGGAACTAAAATATGCAGGACACCGGCCCTCCAGGATGGAGTTTGAGCACCCCTGGCATAACAACAGCTAATAACTAATAACATTACATTATTTTTACTGGTCAAATTATTAGGAAAAACTAGATCAAATTGTATACAGTAGTTTGAAGTGGATCAAAATGTTTTCAAAATGAATAAGAATAGATGTTTTTCAATAGTTTTAGGACAAATTTGATGAAAAGTTGTGATCCATGTCAAATACTGAGTACTGTATGCGTGAATGCTCAAAAATAAGTAAAATTGGTAAAAACAATACTCCCTGTGTACTTTTATTTACACTATCAAGTGTGTGTTTCTGACATTTTAATTGCAAATTTTAAATTTGTAACCACACTATTGGGAACAGTTTTGTTTTTTCCAGTTTGAAATAAAAAGGGGTTAGCATTCTTTTTGTTAGGTTCTCATCAAAATAGTGAACCTATTGCCTTGCCTGGGCAATACAATGAGACTTTTAGTAGGGTTTTATTTTGTCTACAAATCTTTTACCAATACAACTACCAGTAGGGATGTGTGCATATACAGCCATGCCTGCTTCATTATACAACAGTCCCCTTAATGGGAAAACATTTCACCCTTGCATTATGGTGGCTTAAAATTCCCAGGGGAATCAGATATGCAGTTAGATGCTCGTCAGATGTTCAGATAATAGACATGCATTTGATTTAAAACTCCATTTGTACCTGGCTCAGAATGGAAGCTTTTACTTTGTAAAATTTAGTTAGTTAGTTATGTCTTTAACTTAGCTTAAAAACTTAAGGAAAATTTTTAGTAGTGATTTGGTAGTGTGCTCTGTTAATTTGGGCTAGTAAATAATACCATACTCCAAAATCCTCAGAATAAAAGCCTAGTAACTTATATGTATGATACTTTAAAGGCACAACATGATAAGATGTTGTTTTTATTGAAATATCCTAGAAATACATTAGAACAGTGTTATATATATATATATATATATATATATATATACTTGTGTCCTTGAGATTTTTATATTGGTTTTATAGAAAACAGGGATATACCTATGATTTAGAGCTGCACAATTAATCGTAAAAAGATCTCGATTCGACCCCCTAGACGATCTTAAGCCAGCATTTCTATAATTCTGTCAATCATATTTTCAGGAGAGAAGCAAAAGTGGCCGCACAAGTCTTTACACTGTTTTACATACGTTGTTCAGCAACGTAGAAACCTCCAAATGGTGTTGAAAGAGTCACATGCTGTATTTATAAGATATAATTCACCCCAAAAATGTAACGATGTATTCGCGACCGCAAAATCATGTGACGTGAGCTGACCGTCAGCTGTTACCACAGAGAGGGCGAGCACGCGCCTCTGAATGAAGTCTACTTTAGTGAACAGAACCTGCATAGGCTGTGAATAACAGGTAATAAAGTTGTAAATAACATTCAGTTTGTGGCACAGAGTGATCGTTTGTGAGCCGCGCGGAAAGTATGAGCCGTTCTTAGCAGTGAAAATAAAACCGAAAGCGCACACAGTGTTGCCAGATGTGGCTGACTGATTCCAAACCAAAAAGTATCTAAAACCCGCTGAAATGCAACAATACCCACCCAGTCTTCTGTATTCATGAAAATCACGCCAGTGACAGATTTTAAGCAGAAAATGACAGATTGTAAGCATATGTCTCAAACACAATAATTCAACATCAGACTTATCATCAGCATTAATGACCAGGACAAATCTAACGTCTGTTCAAGTCCACCACTCCAAGTCTATACAAAATTTTGCATTTTAACCAACAGTACAGCTACACAAAGCCTATTGCTGTTTTACCACATGTTTGAGAATAACAATAATAATAGCCCACTCCTATTAACCTTTATTTTACATCTACAGAATCGTGAGAAAATCGTTATCTTTATTTTAGGCAAAAAAAAAAAAATCACGATTCCCCTCAGAATTGTGCAGCTCTTCTATGACTCTTTATTATGTTGTGTGTTTTATTAGACTGCACACAGCAGCAGTATATCAGAGGCCTAAAATGTATTTAGTATGATAAAAAAGCGCTGCTGCTTCTCCATGAAATCATGAGGAGAAGAACTGGAAGTGGTGGACTATGGCATAATAAAAGCTCTGCTGTTTTTGTCCCACGTTGCGCTCGTCTCTCATCGGCAATTGTCTCAGCGTTTCTCTCGTTTCACTTCCACAACTTTCAGTCTTATTCTGCTTCATACTATCATGATAAGAAGTGTTGAATACTTTAGCTCATCCATCAACATGATTAATGCAGCAGTCTTGTAGTATGCATCGTAGACCACAACTCCCATAATTTCACACTCAAGTCGTGTCCTCATCAAACTACGTTGTGAATCCCTAGTTCTAAAAAATGACACTCTCTGCCTTTAAAACATTTGAATGTAACAACACTATCACAAGCAGATACAGTCATTTCCTTAAATTATATCAATCAAATAAATGAGGCATGGGTGGTGAGGGTAGTTTAGGGGACGCCACCCTCTCTATTCTGCCGCGCTAGATGCGGATATAACTGAGGCGCGGGTGGCGAGGGTAGTTTCGGGGACGCCGCTCTCTAAATTCTGCCACCCTAGACGCGGATATAATTGTGGCCGCGGGTGGCGAGGATAGTTTTGGGGATGCCGCTCTATCTATTCTGCCACTCTAGACGCGGATGAGGGCGCGGGTGGCGAGGGTAGTTTCGGGGACGCCGCCCTCTCTGTTCTGCCGCCCTAGGCGGCCGCCTAGGTCGCCTCTATGAAAGCGCCGGCCCTGCATACACCCAAAGCGCTTCACAATCATGAGTGGGGTCTCTCCACACTATCACCACAAAATAAAATAATTATGTTATATTTACCATTTTTTACCCACTTTACTGTCTTCTCTATGAAAGTTGACTTGTTTCTTTCATTCATTTTTTCTCTAGTGTCAGTGGTTTGTCTCCGTTCATGGGGGACAATGATAACGAGACGCTGTCAAATGTGACCTCAGCGACGTGGGACTTTGAAGACGAGGCATTTGATGAGATCTCAGAAGAGGCCAAAGACTTTATCAGTAATCTGCTAAAGAAAGACATGAAGTAAACACATCTCTCTACTTTATTCAGAATATACTTGAAAATATTAGTGTGACAAAACAATTTAAACAACTATAACCACAATTAGATTTAAAAATTAAAGTCTGCGTGAGCTGGAAGTTGCTGAGACTTTCATTTCAATATGTTGATATACTCCTAGGGCAATGCAGTGGCGCAGTAAGTAGTGCTGTCGCCTCACAGCAAGAAGGTCGCTGGTTAGAGCCTCGGCTGGGTCAGTTGGCATTTCTGTGTGGAGTTTGCATGTTCTCCCTGCGTTCGTGTAGGTTTCCTCCGGGTGCTCTGGTTTTCCCCACAGTCCAAAGACATGCGGTACAGGTGAATTGGGTAGGCTTAAATGTCCATAGTGTTTGAGTGTGTATGGATGTTTCCCAGAGATGGGTTGCAGCTGGTAGGGCATCCGCTGCATAAAACATATGCTGGATAAGTTGGCGGTTCATTCCGCTGTGGTGACCCCAGATTAATAAAGGGACTAAGCAGAAAATTAATGATATACTTCTGACTGAAACAAAGTATTAGGTAAAGGGCAGGGATTTCTTTTGCTCCTCATTTTCTCATAGCAAACTAATGGTAAGAGGGGCGTGGCTACGATTATTGTAGCTAAAGCTGTCAAACTTACATCAGCAGAGAAAGAACTTCCACTTTAAACGCAGATGCAAATGTTAAGAATTTGATTGATGATTATTTTTATTTCAATGGATTAACTTGCATGTATTAATTGTTCACTATAAGAATAACTGTAGAATCAAAGTTTACACATTGTTTACACTCTGACTTCTGAGGGATAATAACAGAAAGTATTTACCAAGTGCGAGGCAGTGGCGTAGTAGGTAGTGCTGTCGCTTAACAGCAAGAACGTCGCTGGTTTGAGCCTCGGCTCAGTTGCTGTTTCTGTGTGGAGTTTGCATGTTCTCCCTGCCTTCGCGTGGGTTTCCTCCGGGTGCTCCGGTTTCCCCCACAGTCCAAAGACATGCAGTACAGGTGAATTAGGTAGGCTAAATTGTCCGGAGTGTATGAGTGTGTGTGGATGTTTCCCATGGGTTGCGTCTGGAAGGGCATCTGCTGCGTAAAAACTTGCTGGATAAGTTGGCGGTTAATTTCGCTGTGGCGACCCCGGATTAATATAGGGACTAAGCCGACAAGAAAATGAATAAATAAATGCATTTAACAAAACTATCGTCTTCAATTTAACTTTATTATCATCATATTTACGACACTTACAGTATTTTCATTACATCTAAAAAAGTGAAGTGTCATTCATATGCAATTAAAAGGGTACAATAATTATTTTATTAACGAAAAAGCATGCTTTATCTAAAGCAACACTTAAAGATATTTCATATCAATTGCATGTCATGTAAGATGCATGTCAACACCATCAGACATTTATGAAAACGTAATAAATCAGAAAATATGAGAGGTAATTGTTTTGATTTTTGGTTTTCAAACAGTATATTCACACTCTTAAACTCTAAAAAAAATTTCATCATAATCAACAAAACATCTATATATATATATATATATATATATATATATATATATATATACTGCATATACTGTGTGTAAACTCAAAAGTAACAACTGATTTTAATTAGTTTGAAATTGAGCAGTACAAGCTTATTAAATTTGTATTTATTTATTTATTATTTATTTGATTTATTGTCACCCTAAAGGTGTCACATAGGTTCAGATACGTTTTACATTTTCAGAATATTTTAAATATTTAAAAAAAACACCACCCTTCAATTAAATTAATCAGAGTAAATTGTTTGAAATGTATTATATTGAAATGTATAGCAGCTTTTATTAGCATCTAGCATCATGATTAAAACAAAATGGGCACTAAATAAAATCCATGTTTTTTGAAAGAATGAAGTCTTGAGTCTTGAGGAATAAAATAAAATGTAAATCTTGAAAAAAGCTTTTGAAACAATAAGATTCACACTGTTTGTTGTGTTTGTGGTAATACAGTATTTCATCCATTTGCTAAATAATTCAAACAGTTCAAATTACTTCACTTTTTCACCATTGTAAGATGTCAATTCTCAGCACTGTCACCTCCGTTAGATTAATAGTTTGCTAATAATTCTATTTGAATAACTGTTGGTCACGTGTGAAAATGCAATTGTCTGCTAACATGATAATGTATTTTGAAATGTTTAAAAATAAACTTAATTGATGATTAGGGTTATGATTACCAGCAGTGTCGCTCTTGCAGACTGCTGAAGAACACAGATTCAACTGCACTGCAAATCCCATCATGCACTTCAGTCACACAACTGGCCTAGATTCCCCTTGATTGCAAACACACCGCTGATCTGTTTAGGACTAATCAGATGGACTATCAACACCGCACACGCACACATCATGGCTGAGTCTTGTTAGTCTACAACACCACAAAGTCTTTCTTTGTCTGCGTCTTTGCCTTCTTATAACGTTTGTATCGATTCTTTGCCACCTGTACTGACCATTCGCCTGTAGTGGTGGGCAAAGCGAGGCTTCATGAAACACTGAAACAGTCGAAGCATCGAAATGTTTTGAAACTCGTCTTTACAGTGTCACCTCATGTATTGCTCTGAAACAGCTTCATCAAAGAAACAGTTTAGCTAATCAAGGTAAATCCCACATTTGTAACATTAAAATTTCAAGTCATTTACTGTAGTGAAGCAGTCAGAGTTCCACACTAGCATGTTGAGATAATAGGCTCAAATCCAGGGTGATGCAGCTATGTTGGTTTTTAAATACTCTGTTCTTGTAATGTGTTTTGTTTTGACATTGGTTTGTCGTCCGAATGAACACTTTGTTAATAAATATGTCTTGTTTTGGTCATAAAATAGAAACATATTATTAAGAGTCGCCAGGTCTCGAAACGCTTCGGAGATGGACGATGCTTTGAATCGCTTTATTTTGAGTTACCTGACCTAGTGTTTTGAAACACTTTAGTTATGCTACATGGGTGTTTTGAATCACCTAGGTCAGGGGAGTCCAAACTCGGTCCTGGAGGGCCGGTGTTCTGCATATTTTAGTTCCAACCCCAATTAAACACACCTTAACCAGCTAATCAAGCTCATTCTAGGTTTACTAGAAAATTCCAGGGAGGTGTGTTGAAGGAAGTTGGAGCTAAACTTTGGAAGACACCGGCCCTCTAGGGCCGAGTTTGGACACCCCTGACCTAGGTCATGTGACCCGGAATGTTTCAGATCATACTTCAGTGCAGTGTTTCGAAACACACTTCTTCACACTGTGTCGAAACGTTTCACGTCAGCTATCCCTACTCACCTGTGACTGACTATGCTTTTGGATTACCCCTATGATACTGTTTGCACCCGTTTGACCATTGCTTGTTTAATAAACTGCATGTGAATCCCTAACTCCATTGTCCAGCATCCGACTGTTACAGTTAGTCTGATGGCAAAGTTGAAATCATGCTTTAAAAAAAGCTTTGGTGGTTTGTATCAGAGCGTTGCGTAGTGTTTTAGTTCAATCAAGACACAAATGCTTAATTTGTCTTAGTCATTCACATGTCTGATTAAGTAGATTTTCTCCATTCTGCATCATGCGTCTGTGCTCTCTGAGGTACAGCAGAAAAGTTTAGTTCTCTGTTAAAGGTACTTACAATTCCCTTTCTTCCTTGATGTCAATATTATAGCACAGTTACAGATAGGTGTGTGTGTGTGTGTTTGCAGAGCTCGCCTGACCTGTGACCAGTGTTTCCAGCATCCATGGCTTAAACAAGACACCACCAACATGGAGGCCAAGAAACTTTCCAAAGAGAGGATGAAGAAGTATATTCTGAGAAGAAAGTGGCAGGTGAGGATCTGAAAAAAAAGTACAATGACAAAATTGAAAATGATTATATATTGTAGTACTTACCAACTATTTCTTTAACGAATGCGTTGTCGTATGATTGTTTCTCTTTTCCAGAAAACAGGGCATGCGGTACGAGCTATTGGTCGACTGTCTAACATGGCATTGATGGCAGGTGTTCATGCCAAAAAAAGTTCCCCCACAGAAGGTATCAGTTTTCTTTTCAAACTAAACCTTAAATACAAGACTGACATTGACTAGGGCTCAATCCCAATTCTATTGCATGCCCCTACTCTTATGCCTACACCTTCCTCTTGGCTCTTGAAACAGAGTATGAAGGGGTACGACTGAAAATATTCTGCTAAGAAACTTAGTTAACCCAGGTTAAAAAAAAAGTATGAGACTCCAGGTTTCCTCAGGGGTTTCTGTTACAAAAGAAGCACAAAACTGAGGTTATACACAGAGCCCATGTTAATGGATGTAACCGCAACATAAATAAACGTTCAACAACATAAATGTTATTCCAGACATGCTAAAAAAAACTAATTGCTTGCTACAAGACAATTCTGATGAATATTTTGTGAAATCATCAGGTATCAGAATTTAGTATGGGGGTAGAAATGGGATTGAGCCTTAGCTAGTGAATTAACACATTGAGCCATTGTGTTAAAGCCGACATGAAATCTAAATTTACTCTTATTTTTATATGTATATAGTGGTGCTTGTTATAAACACTGTATCTATGCACCTTATTATTCTGTAAAAAATATCAAATATCAATTCATCTTTATTTATATAGTGCTTTTACAATGTGTGTCAAAGCAGCTTTACATAGAAGTTCTATGAAATTTGAAACTGTGTCAGTCGTTTTCAGAGTTGAAGTTCAGTTTAGTTCAGTTCAGTGGGGTTTCATTTTTACTGCTGAAAGTCCGAACAGCAATGCCCACCTTCAAATGAACCAATCGGTTCCCAAAGGATAAAATCAAGCACCGCCCTACATTTCTGTCTCAATTCAAGACTTCAATCGGATTACACTCACGATATCACCATGTCCTATGCCATATAATCATCTTAATAATAATAATTTGTTACATTTATATAGCGCTTTTCTGGGCACTCAAAGTGCTTTACACAATGGGGGGAATCTCCTCATCCACCACCAGTGTGCAGCATCCACCTGGATGACGTGACGGCAGCCATTTTGCGCCAGACCACACACCAGCTGATTGGTGGGGAGGAGACAGATTGATGAAGTCAATTATGATATGGGGAGGGTTAGGAGGCCATGATGGACAGAGGCCAGTGGGCAGATTTGGCCAGGATGCCGGGGTTAAACCCCTACTCTTTTTCGAAGGACATCCTGGGATTTTTTAACGACCACAGAGAGTCGGGACCTCGGTTTAACGTCTCATCCGAAAGACGGCGCTGAGCAGTATAGAGTCCCCGTCACTATACTGGGGCATTAGGACCCACACAGACCGCAGGTTGGGCGCCCCCTGCTGGCCTCACTAACACCACTTCCGACAGCAACCTAGCTTTCCCATGTGGTCTCCCATCCAGGTACTGACCGGGCGCAGCCCTGCTTAGCTTCAGTGGGTGACCATGTGAGAGTTGCAGAGAGCTAGCTGAAGGCAATAGTTTGAATGTCAGTTCTCTGATGAAAGGAATGTATTAATTCAACCATCACAACGCAATTTTTTTATAAAGACTCATAAGAATTCAACTGTCAGTCATCACTAAAACACATTTTTATTTATATTACTGTTATTTATTTGATAAATTATTTATGGAACATTTAATAAACAACAAAATAATAAGCTAATGAGTCATAAAACCTAAAAAAATATGCTGTGAGAAATGCTGAAGTGATACTAACTGAAGTGTGTGTATAGGATAGTATTATATTGTATACTTTACAATTAGTTAAAAAGTTTTAGATTTGTTCAAAGTAATTAGTAAATATACGGTAAAAATTGTTAAAGTATATTTCATTTACCTGCAGTACACCTTAACAGTATTTCAAATATTGCAGATGTAATAATGAAATCATATACATTATGAGGACGTCTTTAAGTTCTATTTAAGCATGTCAAAAATATCAGAACTGTGAATAATATAAGTTACAATTAAAAGTACCTTTTTATTTGAATGGCATCCTTTGTATTATTAGGTGAAACTGTTTACACGAATAAATAAATACATAGGTTTAAAAGTTTGCAATGTTTTGTAATCTGTTTAATAAGTTAATTTATTAAAAAAATGATAGAAATTGCCATTGTAAAGTCTTTAACATGAAAATCTTGTCTTTCAAAGCAGATGCTAAACAGTTTGCTGCTGAATTGGAGGCAAAAACTTTGATGAAGCCCACGTTCAGCTCTGTTATCAAAGATGTGGAGGTGGTGGAGGGAAGCGCTGCTCGATTTGACTGCAAAATTGAAGGTAAAAATGATATGAGTGATGGGTATCTGCGGTTCATTCCGCTGTGGCCCTTAATATAGGGACTAAGCTGATAAGAAAATGAATGAATGAATGATGGGTATTTACAATCCTTTTTTTTTTTTTTTACAAAATTACATCAACCCTCGGGGGTCTGAGCACCACTTTGGGATTTTGGGGCCCCTAAGTTGTTTTGACATGCCCTGACATTTGTGCTTATTTCAGCTACTTATTACATAACATTGATCAACATGTATTGTTTTTGCATTTAACACAAACTGTGCTACTATAATATGTGAGAAATATTGATGTATATGATTGCGTTTATTTTTTATTTTTTAATGTATGCTTGGTTAATAGGTTTTGGAGAAAAATTGTAGCTCAAATAAGGTCCAAAAAACACACTGAATGTGTCTGACTTTTAAGTAACCAGAATTGTAGGCTAGAATATTTACTTCCCAATTATGTGAAAATTATTCTGTTCTCTCATTCAAAGAAAACATTATGATGAATAACAATTTGTTAAGATTATGTTGGATGATCTCAGCTGTATGCGTGCGTGACAATGCTAATATTGTATCTATGTTTGAGGTCTTTGAACAGTGGTAAACTGATGACCTTCATGCCCAATCACAATCATTTCTGTTTAGCATGTGAACACAGTGGCCAATCAGTGCTCAAATGTGAACGGGAAATGCACGTTTTTAAAATGTCAGTACTTATTGGTACTGAACTCGATACTTTTGACAGCCCTAGTGTATTCTGATGATGGCGTGATAGGACACTTTTCTGGTAAAAACACAGCACTACTAGTAGCTGGGTTATTAATTAACTATTGATAAGCATCTAAATAGTAGCTTAAGCCAAACATCTTAGTATATGGTTTGTTATTAGGGGAATTGTACATTTAAACTGTCAAGAGGCAGATCTCGAGAACTCCCCTGCTGTAGTAACTAATGAACAGATAATGATTGCTCTTAAGAGATAACTATTTACTAGGAGCATGTCTATAGTGTCGATTTGGATTAGTCAATTAACTTAAGTTGCATGTTTTGGATGGTGGGAGGAAACCCGGGGGAAAACCCACGTGAGCACGGGGAGAACGTGTACTCCGCACAGAAACATTGGCTGGCTTGGTAAGAACTAGAACCAGTGATGTTCTTGCTGTAAGGCAACAGTGCTAACCACTGGGCCACCATGCCACCTATCTAGGAAAGGTGGAGGAGTAGGGGTGGAAGGGGGGATTCTTCAAAACAAAGATGGCTGTTATATGGAACTTAGGGTATTTATAGTGGCTTAGGAATCGTCTGATTGTTGAATCATAAATTGAATATATATATCATAAGCATGTGATTCTCTCGAAATTCGTTTATAAACAAACTTCACAAAGTGACCAAAAATTTCCCCTCACCCCTAATTTTAAAATCAGTAGTATATTCATGCTGTTTTGTGTCAGATATTCATCCTGTAATTGTTCACTGTTAGGTTATCCTGACCCAGAGGTGGTGTGGTATAAGGACGATCAGCCCATTAAAGAGACGCGCCATTTTCAGATAGATTATGACGAGGACGGAAACTGTAGTCTGGTCATTTCTGAGGTCAACGGCGATGATGACGCAAAATATACCTGCAAGGCCATGAACAGCCTCGGGGAGACCACCTGCACCGCTGAACTCATCGTAGAGGTGATGGGAGAAGAAGAAGAGGAGGAAGAGTAGCCTGGCATGTTTCTCTCTTTCACTTGGTGCTTTTATTTTCACTTCTTCTGGACTTCCAAATGATGACGAGGATGATGAAGACCTCAGATCAGCTTCTTTTATTGCACTTCTGATTCATTCTTTTTGTATTTATGCATCAGCCAAAGTCCGATTGATCACATCTTTAATATCACTTACCCTCCGTTGTCTCATTTTACGAAAGAAGGTTTTTCCACGGTAAACTCATTCATGTGTGACCCGCTCCAGACTGTGTGTTTGAATTACCTGCACTTCCTGTCTGTTTGGACGGCTTTATTGAACACTGTAAAACCCATGTTAGGTCGCGTTTTTGGTTTGGAGACATTTTCCACTTTTTCACCCTCCGTCACTGTAGCAGAATTTTATTACCAAAGTCTGTAGATCATATCTCTTTCATATTTCCCCATATTTACATGTTTGACGGTGCGGTTTGTGTTGGTATGAGAACACTACAATTGTTATTCACTTTTTAAAGAATAAATTTTGATCACATAGTCTTTTGTTTGTGTGTGCTCACTCAAAAAGAACTAAAAGTGTCTGTTTATTGACAGTTAAGCCGCCTTTCCACTGCACATGACATTTAGGCTGTTCCTCAATATGCGTTCTTCAGCGGTCTTGCATCCTCGTGTTCTCGTGCAACGTCATCATCAGCTGCCTAAGTTCAGTTCCAATACTCAAGACCGCGAGTACGGAGGACGCGTGAAACTTCCCAGATGTGTTCTTGATATCGAGGACGCACCGATGCAGACTTGAGCACCGAACTCGCTCTGGAAGTCCCAGAAGTCATTGCAGCTGGAGGTGGGAAGCGTAGCATTTTATTTAGATTTATTATTAAAGTTCAGAGAAATCACTTATTTACCTCAGGAGTTTCCCTAAATGAAACGGTGAAAGTAAACATTAACATGAATATCTTAATAAAGGAATAAACACATTAAGGGTTGTTTGTTTGCTGAAATTTGTATTAAAATCTGTTTTATTTATATTGTGCAGGGTATATTTATAATGTTTTTATGCAAAGTATATATTTTGAAGAGGGGGGAAACAATAAATCGTTGTATGAATGCTGTAATGTTTAAATAATTTCCATTTAAAACGCGTGAAGGTCACATGACCATCAGGAAAAACGCAGCATCCCATTTCTCAAAGGACGCGTTCTCTGCCCTCGCGGTCTCCTGAGTTCGTTCTTCCGAGGACACCTGGCAAGACCGGTCTCCACAAGAACACAAGTCCGTTCTCTGCATTCTTGGAATTGAGAAACAGCCTTAGACACGACTGTTGGATTACGCCCCCTTGTGGCAGTCGCACAAAATTTTCAGTTCTGACGTACACCATGGGAGAAGCTGTTCTCGCAGTCTCCGAAATAAAAGTAAGAGTCTATATTCTCTGTGCGTTCATCATGCTTGAATAAATTAATGAATACTAGAAACTCATAGACCGATAAAAATATTGGAGTGTGGAGACATCATAAAAATATATTTTTTATACTTGCATTTATAAATAGAAATGTTTTATATATATATAGACTTTTTCTTATTTACAAAATAACCACATAAACAATTATTTCTCATCTCACGCACATGGACCTGCTTAGACAACAGTGAAATACATCACATCCGGTCGCATATGGTCTAGTCGCAGGAGTACAAATATTTCAACGGATCCGCAGCTCAAATCAGATCCAAATTTTCCGCATACGGACTTCATCGGAACTCCACGCAGCTCCCGCACTACTCTCCATTGGAAATGAATGACTTCCAGTCATGCAGTGAAAAGGAGTCTTTATACCCTAAAGCATGCTTTTCTAACACACTTATTTCATAAAACATCTCACTAAATAAAAAGTGACAACATCCTCTAAGCAGAAATAGCTCTTACACCTTCCTCTACACGCTTAAAATGGCGTGTATGGGTAGGCATATAGAAATATTTCCCTGTATTAATGAACAAAATAAAAAAAGAAGAGTTGTCTCTAACCTATTTGCTTGGACCCTAATAAACATTTTGACTACACAGTGTTTGTTCAATTGCTGTGCAGCTGTATCCCCACCAGTCCTACACCACCCAACCCACCTCGAGCTGGTATCGAACTGGCGACCTTCCGCATGGGAGTTGGTTGCTCTACAGCACCTACTGGCTGGCCTTTTTTACACAGCCAATGCAACTCTAATGCTTTACACAGTGACTATGTTTACATGGTAATCGAATTATTTGCTTTAATCTAATTAAGATAATAATAAGACTAAGATGTTTACATGAGTTGCTTTTTGAATGTTCCTTTCATGATGCTGTTTTACATGTTATAGCACATCATCTGATTAACATCATTGCGGCACCATGCTATCCACATTTCCTCCGGAGTTTCATGTAATTTGGGTGTTTCATTTTTAATTTGTCGACTTTAACTGCAGTTTGACACTTTCACGTTTATTCACAAACATTCCCTGCACGCCCTCTGTGACAAACGAGATATTGGATGTGTAAGAGTTGAGATATTGCAAATATTTTTATATCTTTGACAATTCAGGCATGGGCTGAAAGCGGAGACGGTTGACTCCACAACCCAGCAGGTGGGAATGCGGGAAAAACCAGCTCCTGCTGCTTTTGCATCTGAACCTGCTGAAACTAGGCTTCAAATCACCCCAACTCACACATATGGTCATTTCAATGTTTGAATGTTCTAAATTAACCAAACTGACTTTATCTATCGTGTTTGATATAATTTGAAATGTCTCAGTGCGACTGGTACAATGGTCTCATTCTCTCAGAAATAGACATAATCAAAACAATAAATATATAACTTCAGGCATCTTTTGAACCACTGTGAAGGGTGTGACTTTTCCACAGGCAGCACTAAATGCAAATGCCCTTTGTTATGCACACACCCCTTTCCTTGAGGGAATTCTTGGATTACTTAAGGTAAGGTTTGAGAAAGGCTCAGCGCGATTCTGCTTACCCAGATCAGCCCGTAACATGGAGCTTATGCTCCTTGTTATGTATATTTTGAAGTCAGGTATGCATCTTTTCATCTTGGATTTGTCTTTGATAATTTGATGTTTTGTATTGATCATTTATGAATTGACTGATTGAATTGGCATAATACACTTACCTGACTAATAAATTATGTTTTGAATTATTCAAACCTCGTGTTATTATCACTGGTAAATGTTGTTGTCCATAGCACTACAAGCCACTGTACAGGTTAGTAACGGACTAAAAGAGATCCGACTAACAAATTGGCATTAATTCAAGTATACTTAGACTGTAAAAGGCCATCTATGAGTTTTCTATTTAGAACAACAAAATATTGTTGAAACTAATCTAAATGTGGGTATTTAGGCCTTCATCTACAAACTTATAATCCTGTGCGATTATTATTAAAATACTTTGTCTTGATTAAGTAGATAACAGATCTATGGGGAACACATAAAAATCTCCTAAATTGAGTAAAGTAGGGTTCTGCTTTTTTAGGAGAGTGGTTAATCGCCTCTGTTTAATGACCAAGACTGACATGCTTGTATTAAGAGATTGTATACCCGGCCGGTGCAAGACTCGGGATGCTATAGGAATCTGAGTAAATGAGAATAAGGTATAATAACAAATCGAAAGAATATTCAATCATAATCTAAAATAATGTGAAAGAAAACAAAATAATCTTATCAATGTTCTATAATTGGAGTCAGATAAAACGAGGATAAATATATTAATATTCTAATTCTAAACCACCTCAGACTAAAATTGGAGTTAGATATGAGTTAAGTTTAATATAAATCAACATTGTGCACTGGAAAGACCGAACATGCAATGAACCTTCATCCACCAGTGGACACCGGCATTGGGCCAACTGGGTGGACCCTTCAGATGCAAAGATGCAGCTGTGTATATGACTGTATCATCCACATAATAATATATTTTTTCATTTAAAGGGATAGAAATCGCAATTGTATTTGAAATATACCCAATATTATCATCTCAAATATATTTTAAGTACACGGATATTTGTTAATCAAATTTCCATTACTTTTCCATAACATTTTGGGTTTATTTATTTTTCCAAAACTTTTCCAGGCCTGGAAAATGCCTTGCCAAACTTCCATGACTTTTCCAGGACCATATAAAGCCTGAAAGTAACTTTCCTCAACACTGAGGAGTAAAAAATGACTCATCTTACCCTCTTTTTCCTTACACTTTACTTCTTGTTACTTCAGTTGTACTTCAATGTATTGCAAATTGCAGTTGCATTTAATTTTGCTGCAATTATCTTACTATATTCTACAGTTTTACTCCCGTTTACTGTAGTTATTTGGTGTAAAACGGTTAAATAAAGGTAAACTCCACTAAAACAACACTTGTGATGCTAAGTAAATTTTGTCGAGTCATAATGGCGTCTTTACTTATGCTGAGTAACACCAAGATATTCGCCCAAAATAGTCATCAACAGGCATTTAAGATAAGCGACATATCTCACCCTGCCACCTGTCCTGTCCACTGGATATAAATCAAACGGCACAGAAGTATCGCGAGGAAACGCGAAGTACACCACAGTACAAGCAGAAAACATCGCGAGAAACAGCTGGGCTGGTTTACAAAAGACACTCACCTCTAGACGGCGCCTGTCGGCCCAGAGAGCAGAATATTGCATTCAATCGCATTCAGATTTAATCATTTTGAAGACATTTATACACTAAACATTGTAGAATTGTTTACAACTATTAATTACTACAAATATTCACAGTTACCCAAATTAAAATTTAGCTGAAGTAATCCCGCTGAAATTGTGATATAACGTTTAGTAATCACAAACTAATGATTGGTCCTTATTTAACAGCGCTGACAAAAACAACAGCCGCCACGTGTCCTCAGCAACAGACGCTGCAGAAATGTAGTGAATTAAAATGATACAGTAAATAAATTTGAACTAATACCTGTTCAATCAAAGGTACTTTTTAAAACCAGTCAGTGCAGTTAATTGAAAACTTTTGTTCTAATTTTCTACCATTACGAAATTTAACCATGGTTTTACTGCTATAAAAAAAGCAACTCACCATGCTATATTATGGTAATCAAAAAAGTTTAACCCCACAGAGTTTAACCACATAGTTTAACCTTGGTATTTTAAGTAAATGCTAACTAAAAAGCAAAAACAAAATAATAATAATAATAATAATAATAATAAGTGATTATACGCTTACTATAATTCAAGACACATACAATTTTCATACATAATGTATAATTTTTTGCAAATGTAGGTTCATGAAAACAAACATTGTTTGATTTTTTGGGATACATTGAGTGGTGTGCGTGTTGTTATATTTATTATCGTAGAATAGTATTGGATTTTTCAGAATGGGCTACATGTACAGCTATGTTTTTCAGCCAATCATGAACTTCCGGAGAAAGGTTATGTGACTATGTTTAATTTCATAAGGTTCCATTTACAGTATCGATGTTGTAATGTAATCAAATTTCATCAGTTAAATAAACTTCAGCATCCATTTGGTTGTTAAAGCATAAAAAGAGATTAAATCTGTTTAAACGCAGGCGCCGTCATTTACAATAGGCTAGTGCAAAAAAACTCCTTTGAAAATACTGAGGTAAAATTAATATCCATACTTTAAAGACATGGCGTGGAAAAATATAATTTCATGCAGTGCTTCTTGTTTGGTCTGATACCCACTGTATATCGTATCTCAGCTAGGCAGATTTTTTTTTCAAAGAAATCAGATCCTTAATGCTGTGATTTTGTAGGGGATGACAATTCACCGGAATTCCTGAGGCTGGCTGACTGAAATTAAACTGTGCATATACCCCATTTGTGCATCTTTCTTTCAAATGTAAGCATGTTAAATATTGTTGGATTGTTACATTTAAATGGACAGACATACTGCTCAATATCTGCCATTTTAAAGCTAATTTGAAGATTTATTTAGAATTTTTTAAGTCAAAATAGCAACCTTAACTATAAATAGACCTACAAAAAAATCCAACTAAACTTCTTTTTTTATTTATTTATGCATTTACCCTTCTTGTATTAATTAAAACATCCATTATTATTATTATTATTATTATTATTATTATTATTATTCAGTATAATGGGAATGTCATAATTGCTAGATTTTGTTTTGGTTCTGTAGACTTGTAAATGTATATACACAAATGTATAGGTGTATATTTGTATGTTATATGGTTATATATAATATTGTTTTATATATATATATATATATATATATATATATATATATATATATATATATATATATATATATATATATAACATTAGTATACATATACAGTATACATGTACATCACATAGTCATACATTCATCCATTATACAATTTTCAGAATTATTATTACTTGTTAGTATTTGTTTGTTTGCTTTTGTCCTGTTTCATGTGTACTGTATTGAATAAGACTGTATTGTTTTATGTGATGTTGTAAAAAAAAAAACATAAAAGATTAAAAAGTATTAAAAACGGATAGCTTATTTTTCGGCATAATAAATAACTAAATAAACAACTAAATAAATAAATAAATAAATAAACAAATAAATAAATAAATAAATAAATAAAAGAAAGAAAGAAAGAAAGAAAAGAAAGAAAAGAAAGAAAGAAAGAAAAGAAAGAAAGAAAGAAAGAAAGAAAGAAAGAAAGAAAGAAAGAAAGAAAGAAAGAAAGAAAGAAAAAGAAAAATACAAAAGCTCCGCCTAATTTGTCACCCTGTTTAAAGCCGCTCTACTCGTTTGCAACAGGATCTCGCGATAAACGCAGGATATCCGTAACATCCAGACCTCGCGAGAAGCGCCGCGATCACAGCAACAAGACAACCAAAATAAAGTGAGCACAACAAACCCGTAGCGCATGATGGCGGCGTCTCTGCTGCGCCGGGACAAGAAATCCACCGCCGCCCATCTGAAGGCAGACCTCAAGCGGACTGACAACAGTTCAGGCTTGCGGCAGCTGCAGGAACTGCTGGATAGCGTACTGAACCCGGAGCGGGGCTCGGACCCGGAGGCGCTGGACTGGTGTAAATGGCTGCTGGCCGGAGGGGACGGTTTCGACGAGTTCTGCCGGACCGTCCGATCCTACGATAACGCCACCCTCTGCGGGCTGGTGTGGACTGCCAACTTCGTGGCCTACCGTTGCCGGACTTGCGGCATTTCCCCGTGCATGTCGTTATGCGCGGAGTGCTTCAATAACGGCGACCACACGGGCCATGATTTTAACATGTTCCGGAGTCAGGCCGGCGGGGCCTGTGACTGCGGGGACGGGAACGTGATGAGAGAGAGCGGGTCAGTAGAGCCACCCTGAACCGACATATCTGACCGACAGGGCTGTGTCTTAACACCTGACAGTGTGCTGACCACCTGAGCAGTGTTTTGAGCCATCAGCTGCAGATTTAGACATCATGTCACAAGCGCAGTCATAACAGCACCATTTTGAAAATATAAAGAGGCTAGTTTTATTATTAAACATCATTAGATGGTACTGTCTCTAATCCAAAGCAGATTTGGCCTGCATAGTATCATGAACACAACCTAAATAAGCAGTGAGGTTATGGAGGACGTTAAAGAGTCAATCTGAAAATGAAAACTCTGCCATTTAAAAATCTAAATGACAGAACATCTTTCACTTTCTGATCAAAACAAAAGATATTTTAGTGAGAGCTGGAAACCTGTAACCATTGACTTTCATAGTATTTGTTTTTCTTATTATGGATGTTAATGGTAACAGGTTTTCAATTTTATTCTTAATGTCATCTTTTGTATTTAACAGAAGAAAGTGACATATATAGGTGTATAACCATTCGAGGTAAAGTAAATAGAGCGACTTAGTGAGCACACATATCTAACCAACAGGGCTGTGTCTTAAACACTTGACAGTATTTTGAGGCATCAGCTGCACATTTAATAGAGGTAAAGTTGGTTTTATATTCGCTCATTCGTTCATTTAGCAGTCTCTATTATGTTTACCATGTTACTTTGAATATTTGATCGGAATTAGCATACAAGCATGACTTCTAAACAACATAAACACTATCTAATTGAACAATGTTGTACTTTAATAGTCATTTGCTATTTGTATGATTTCCCTATTTAGATTTTGCAAAGAATTCTTTTCTGAAATTTATAATATTGAGATTGTTTGAATATCCGCATATAAAACCAACTTTACTTCTAAGCAGATTTAGACATCATGTCATAAGCGCAGTCATAACAGCACCATTTTAAACATAAAAAGAGGCTTGTTTTATTATTATTCATCATAAGGCATTACTGTCTCAAAAGCAGACCTGGCCTTCGTAGTATCATGAACACAACCTAAATAAACAAGGTTATTGAGGAAATCATAGAGTCAATCTGAAAATGAAAACTCTGCCATTTAAAAATCTAAATGACAGAACATCTTTCTGATCAAAACAACATATTTTGATGAGAGCTGGAAACCTGTAGCCATTGACATTCATAGTAATTGTTTTTCTTACTATGGATGTTAATGGTAACAGGTTTTTGCTTTTATTATGAATGTCATCTTTTGTATTTAACAGAAGAAAGTGACATATATATATATATATATTTATAGGTTTATAGCATTTTGAGGTAAAGTAAATAGAGCGGCTCAGTGAGCACACATATCTAACCAACTGGGCTGTGTCTTAAACACTTGACAGTATTTTGAGGCATCAGCTGCAGATTTAGATGTCAATTGCAGTCATAACCAGTAGCTTAAAAAGTAAAAATGCTGGTTTTATTTTCTAGCTTTATTATTACACATCATTAGACAGGACTGTCTCAAATCAATAGCAGATTTGTCCTTCAAAGTATCATGAACACAACCTAATTAAGCAGTGAGGTTATGGAGGACATCATTGTCAGTTTTGAAAGAGTAGTTCTTTTGAAGATGAACATTTTCTCATACTTGTTCTAAAAGTTTATTTCTTAAGAAAACAAGATATTTTGATGAGAGTTGGAAACCTGTAACCATTGACTCTCTTAGTGTTCAACAAAACAAAGTATTATGTGTATAAATTTTTAAAGAGAGGGTAAACAGCTAGTAAATTTAGATTTTGTGGTGAACTATCACTCTAAGGATTATAGTTTCCTGCCTAGCTTGTTGACTAAACAGTGTTTTAAAGTGATAGTTCAAAAGAAGATAGTTTGAAGACTGCTAAAAACCAGTAACCATTGACTTCCATGGTAGGAAAATCAAACACTATGGAAGCCAGGTTTCCGTCTTTTTTCAAAATACCTTTCAACATTCTTCAAACTATCTTATTTGGAGATTAACAAAATAAAGAAACTCATAACGATTTGAAAACAATTAAGGGCGAGTAAATTTTCATTTTTGGTTTAGGAATAGTTCACCCAAAAATGAACAATTACTCGCCCTCAATTGGTTTTAAACCTTTTTGATTTTCTTTTTTCTGTTAAACACTAAAGAAGATAGTTTGAAGAATGCTGAAAACCTGTAACCATTGACCCCCATATTTGGAAAAACGAGTACTATGGAAGTCAGGTTTCCAGCTTTCATTTGTGTTCAACAGAATAAAGAAACTCAAACAAGTGAAGGCTGAGAAAAGGATGACAGATTTTTTTTATTTTGGTGAACTACACTTTAATTCCTGGTTTTGTTGGTGAATTGAATTCTGAATATGCTGTATTTTTGGACAGTCTCAAACTTGTATGGTGTCACACACAGACACACTGAAAGAAATAAATTTTTAGTGTAGTCAAATTAAATAATTTAACTCATAATTTGTAAATTGTGATATTAATTGTCAAAGATAACTAGAATTTTCTAACTACATATTTAATATTTACACATTTAATTCCTATAATAAATTAAATGAGTGGAAAGAGTTAAATAATAATATTAATTTACACATAATATTTAAATATTTTCTAATCGTCGCAAACCTACTAATATTAAGTAAGTTTTAATATGGATTGTAATTGTATTGTATTGGATATGTCGCGATGGGTAGTTCCCAGCAAATTTTGCAAGGGCTTGAATTAAAAGAAAAGTATTTTGAAAATAAAAGCAATCTTAGTAGTTTAAATTTGAGAGAAAGACTTGGAGTTTGATCATCATTAGTTTGTAGATTAGGAAGCTTTAAAATAGTTTAAGTTTTGCTTTGGGTCTTGGCGTTTTATTATCAGCGTTATTGTTTGACGCTTTACTCAGAAAATCATAGCTAGGATAACACTAGCTCTGACATCAGCCAGCATTTATAAAGTAAATTTGCTCTTGCTAAATAAATTTGCTCAAAGTGAATAACATATTTCAAGTGGAAATGTCTGTCTTAATTAAACCAAGTTGCACTAAATGTACTAATTTGTAACTAATAAGATTTTTTAAAATTGATAAAAGCAATGTTCCTTCTGCTAAAACAAGAAAATGACATTTCTTGATTTATTTAAATAAATGAAGACTTAAAAGTATAATCAATTCACTAATAATAACAATCTACTTAATATTTAAAACAACACTCCTAAATAAATTAAGTAAATTTTACATAATAAATGACAGGTTAATTGTACCTAATAAAAGATTGTAAAATTTACTTGAAATTTGTTTGTGCAAATTGTTACGAGGATTTTTTTAAAGTAAATTTTCAGAGTTATTTTTTCAGTGCATGATTATATATACATATAAATGTTTCTGTGTGTATATGTGCCTATTTATAAAAGAAAATCTTATTTCGCTTCAGAATAATTGCCAAGGAAACACATCTTATTTTTCAGTTTAAGCATTAAGATAACTAAAAAATACACAATAGAACTATATTAACAACAAATATTAGAATGTCAGTCCTTAAAATTAAAGAATAATAAAAAAAAATTAAGTCTAATATAAGTAAAATAAGTCCAATTTAAAATGCTAACACAAACTACCATAGTAGTAATAGAAAGTAAACTACTGAAACCTGTTTCAAATCAGCAGCAGATTTAGTGTGGTCATAATCTTGACACCTAGCATTCCCGCTACCTATAAAACATTTTATTCTCAATGAACACTTATTCTGTAATGCTTTTTAATGTTATGACCTCAAAGGGTTCTCCAGAGTAAAAATAATTTCCAGTCACACTTTAATGGGCAGTTAAACACAACTTAGAGAATACCTTACTGTTATTGATTAAATGGCTGGTGATCAAGACTTGTGTACACTATTGTTCTCAAGCTAGTACCCTGACTAGTTAGGGCATCGTATCACTTACATTTCCCTTATTTGTAGCATTTCAGGTTGTCATAGTCTAACTGTTTTGTTGTTTGTGACTAATCGCGTGTGCATCTTGAATAAGTTTGCAAAGGGGTGAACAAGTTCTAGAAATTTTTCAGAACATTTGCACTATTTTCAAAATGTGAAACTTATCCGGAATCATTAGAAATTTTCAGGAATTTATGGGAATTAATTACACACTACAGATGTTAAAATTCTGTCATTTAAAAAGCTAGTTAGCCTTAAATTGTCAGTTAAATAGTGCTTTTAGTTTCTTACAATTAGTATATCCAAATAACTGGCTTGCTAGCTAAAGTAGAAACAGGTCTTTTACTTGCTAGTTCATCAATATTTATTAAATATATTTTCACAATGGATTTCAAGAATTTACACTTAGCTGATGATTGATAATAGAGATTGTTTGGCATGCTGTCCCGGAAGAGAGCCCTGAGCTTGTAAGATTCTCGAGCCCTGGGCTCCCTAGCAGGACGAGAGGGGAGTTTAAGCTTAGGAAGATCTCAATGAATTCCCCCAACGTATTTCTGACTAATGACCGATAAAAGGCTGGCTAAGAGCTTGACTATGATGCCAGTTTTGTTCAATTTTCTTAGGTTGCATGTTTTTTTGGACTGGGAGGAAACCAGAGAAGCCAGTTAAACCCACACGAGCATGGAGAGAATGAGCAAACTTTGCACAGAAATGTCGACTGATTTAGTAAGGACTTTAACTAAGAGACATTCTTGCAGTGAGGCAACAGTGCTAATCACAGGGCCGCCGTGTCATCCGTTTTGAAAAGGAGTGGGGGGGTAGGACTGGGTGGGGGTGATTCTTCAAGATGAAGAAACTGTGGTTATTTATAGTGAGTCAGGAATTATTTAATTATTTAATCATAAGTAGGGCCAGACGGAATCTGCGGACGTTTTTTGCTATTTCTGCAGAGAATTTTGTTAAAAGTTAGGGGTGTCACGATTTCGATTTTTAATCGAAATCGATCGAAATTTATGCTTAATTTCGATTATCGAATCAAACAATAGAATCGTCGATGCTGTCACGCCCCCATGTCACGTCAGC